GTGTGCCTTGGTAGACAAGATCACCAGCCAATCAGGATTGGCGTAATGAGATTGATGCTTCTGTTTGCATACGCGTTGAGGCGCATCCCATAGTGAGACATCTCACTTCATGTTACTCTGAGAACTGGGGTTACGTAAGTAACCTATAGACACTGACGCTGTCAGAAGAGAGGGAGGAAAAAGAGAGGCTTCATGTATTTTATTATTATATTATATAGATTCGTTATTCATTTGTTTTAAAGCCCAATAAACAGCAAAGAAGACCTTTGACTGGCACTTTTATAATTTTGTCTGGAAGATTAAAACTTTAATACACGTTGACTGGCGAAAAACTCTGCCCGGTTCCCTCGGCCCCCACCGCGGAGAATAAACAGAAGGGCAACCATGACAACCATGCTTCTTCGCTGCTTTTGTGGAGGAAGTTACAGCGCCACGTACAGGCTCCTGCTTATGTACTGCAGCTTCTCCAGCGGTTGGAGCTAAACGGAGCTGTCTCGCGTGGACAGACACCATCCGTTGAACATTGCGTGTGGACGGAAAAAAAAATTCGATTGCGTTTGCGTTAATCCTATGCGTTTAGCCGTATGCGTCCTCGTGGGGCCGGGGCCTTAATGAACTCTGTGTCTTCCCTCCAGGCCAGGAACGTTTCATATCCATGAACAGGGTCTATTATAAGGGTGCGCTGGGCTGTGTGGTGATGTTTGACGTCACCAGCTCAGCCAGCTTCCTCAGCTGTCGCCATTGGAAACGGGACCTTGACAACAAGGCCATGCTTCCCAACGGAGAATCCATCCCCTGCATCCTGCTGGCCAACAAGGTATTTTGTATGTCTTAAAGGGTGTAGTATTCACAGGGAAATGGAATATGATTACCTGTTTTGATTAGTGCATATTCACCTGGAACTAAGAATAGGTGTTTTTTTGTGCCCTTTGTTTTAACACTACCTTAAGGCCACCGTAGTTCTCCGATACGCCTGTAAAACTGTGGTAACGCCGCCACCGACTGAATTACTTTCCTCACAAAGTAGTGTTATGCTAAGGATGGCCTTTGAGCGATGTGAAGGTCATCAAGGTCATGTTATGTCATGCATCTAATTCATGACATTACTTCTTCCCTATCACAAATCCAGCTGTAACAGAAGTAACAATGTCATATCTACATGTGGCAATTTGTTCATGCGGAAAAAAACAGTTCTGTTATGAATGATTGGTGTGACTTTTGAGGTTTAAAGGTTTTGTATTGACCGTATTGTATAGATCCATGCTGCACACATACAGGTTCAACCATTTCACATCATATTATCATAGCAAGATAACCCTGGATGGGACACATTTGATTTTTAATAAACCACAGCTAACACAATACATTAATCATTTATGCAACCTCAGCAGGTCAAGCAAGATCCTGAATCTCTCACCTCACAGCAACAAAATGACTTCCTGCCCCTCTCTCTGTCTCTCTGTCTGCAGTGTGACCTCCCTCAGCGGGTCGTGCCCCCAGACAGCATCGACAGGTTCAGTAAGGCCAACGGCTTCATTACCTGGATGGAGATTTCGGTCAAAGAGAACAAGAACGTTGGTGAAGCTATGAGGTAACAAAAACAACAACAAAAGAAACTTAAGAGAGTACGGGGTCAGATGATGCATTGTACACTGAACTCTTATTTGGGTTCCAAATAGTTTCTTCCTGTTATGCTGAAGTTCTACAAACCCATAACCATTCCTTCTGAAGAACACTTTACATTTTTGTTAATATTCATGGTTTTTTTGGCCAATTTCTTCAAAGCTTTTGCTAAAGTGTTTACAATGACAGATATGACAAAGTGGGAGCAGTAACCTTTGTGTTCACTCCTACAGGCCAGCACTGAATCGTACATAACAGTGACAAAGCGGTATTCAACCAATTCTGTTTAAATAACTCTCAGGAGTGATGTATTTGATGTTGAAGGTTTGCAAAAGCATTGAATTAGGCAGGATATTTATTTGTTATGAAAGTTCCATTAGCAGAGAAACATGAACACAATTGATGAAGGACTTATGCTTCAATGCATGCTTTTTCAACTGTATGTGAACCCTAGCCTGAAAAGGGATTTATTTAGTTGGAAACCTTGATGATTCATGATATTCCTATAAATCAGTAAATCAGTGTTGTGTTTCAGGAGATTGGTGCAGGACATTTTGTCTGTGGAATCCAGTCTTGATTCACTACAACCCAAACCTCAAGAAATCGTTAATCCTCAACTGGACTCGTTGTTCGACGGAGGAGCAGGATGCTGCTGAAACACAATCAAAAGGACAAGTAAACAGCCAGGACCCAATCATATACTCAAGTTGTTTCAGGGGCCACTGAACAATGCACTTAACTGAGAGAGCTGTCTGCAGATAACAGTGGAATCACCAGGAGATGTCGATGTAAGTGGGTTATATTTATGCTGAGCAGATCTTCAGTGTCCATGTGTGAGCTGGCAGGGATCTAAGAGGACACTTTAAGTGGGATGAGGAAACAACACACGTGTTTCTCATTTTGGACAATGTACGATTAAAAAACGAGTGTGAAAGCAACAACACTGGTTTAACTGTCAAAAAGACTCAATAAGGATTCGTCAACTTTTTTTCTAAACCAATTAAAACCTGTTTCAGGATCTAAAAAGAAGAAATATCAGTAGCCTACAGTAAAGTACACAAAGACAGGCCATGGCTCTGAGCCCTGCACATGACTGTTTTCTTAACTCTCTTCCCGCGGCAGAGAATTTGACGTAAACATGCACAACTGAATTTATAATTAAAATATTTGTAATGTTTTCCCCCCTATGATTTTAGTGATGTTTATGTTTTGGTATAACAGTGTTTAGTGGGTTTTGTTATACCAAAAAACACACAAAATAATAATCTGTGAGAAATTGATAAAATAATTGAGCCACCACAGAAGCAAAATTATATATAGAGAGTGAAAAATGATTTGATTATTCATCCAGTGATTCTTATTGACAAAGTGTATTGGGATCTTCCTTGGCCCTTGCATGAATTTTGTTGTTATCCTTTTAGACAAACACGTAATCCTTTTTATTTTGAGTACATTCTGGCAATTATTTCTCCAGAAAACACAGTGTGCACTGTTGGGTCAGGAGAAGGAGGATGTTGTGAAGAGAAACAGACGGAGCAGATGGAAAGTGTGTATGCAGTCGTTAAAAAGTGTGAGAAGAACGAGGCGTAGAGCGTGCTCAGTGCAGCCGGTAGGTCTCCGCCTCCAACAGGCTGAGACACATGCGGTGTGTACATGTGTGAGTGCATGTGCATGCGTGTACACTGTTTGGGGGTCAGGTTAATTCTGTGAAGCTACGGTTGTGTTTGTGTGCATAATTAAGATCAAGGCACATGAGTGTCAAATGCCCACACACATGCTGTCAACATTCCTCCTCTCAATTGTCGCCGTGCCTTCGACTGCTGAGATTTGTGGGTAAATTCCCACTGTTTTAAGTATTTTCGAGGAAAATATTATAACGAGTATGTGCGCTTTAAATAATAACAATAATCTCCAAAGCAATGTTAGACCCACAAAGTTTTTGTTTAAATTGTATTCTCAATGGACACAGTGTTGTGTGAGGTTTGTCTGGTTAACAGTGTGTTGTCTTAAAACATGTACAACAAGCTTTATTGAAAATAGTAAGGATAAAATGTAGGTTGTGAAAAATGTAACCTTTGCTCAGTGTCCATAGAGAAAATAAATGAGACTTCATAATTGTACTGTTTTGATACTGGACACTAAGGAGAGTTTAATACATTTAAAAGTGGCCATAGCAGCATACAGGTCAAACTAAGGTAAGATTGTGGCGACAGATGGCATTTTGTCTTTGAAAGAAACAATTCCTGTTGGAGCATAATGTACATTTATTACAGCCTGTTTGATATATAAATGATTAAGTAAAGATGGTATTTTGACCAGCATGATGCTAGAGGAAAGGTCAGGTGGTGACAGGATTTGTTCTAAGGGGCACATTCGTGTTCAAGCTTTGCTCTGTAACAATCAACATCGGCACCTCTGTTGTTTCCCCGACACAGACTGCAAGGAATCTGGGTGTGATCCTAGATAACAAACTGTCCTTCACTGCAAACATCGCTGCTACAACCCGCTGCTGCAGATACACACTTTACAACATCGGGAGGATACGTCCCCAGCTGACCCAGAAAGCAATGCAGGTTCTGGTCCAGGCTCTCGTCATCTCACGCCTAGACTACTGCAACTCCCTCCTGGCTGGTCTACCTGCATGTGCCATCCGACCTCTGCAGCTCATCCAGAATGCAGCGGCTCGTCTGGTCTTCAACCTTCCTAAATTCTCCCACACCACCCGGCTCCTCCGCTCCCTTCACTGGCTTCCGGTACCTGCTAGAATCCACTTCAAGACAATGGTACTTTCATACCATCCCTCGCCATAAAAGAGGATGTCGCTATAACTTCTATGAAAATGTTCAAAATGTGCTCAAACTTCACCTGTGTGCTAACAGTGCAGCCGCAAAGACATCTACGGGAGAGTTTTGAGATTTCTTCAAATGTCGTTGCCATGCCAACACAATGCTCAACATGAATCACGGTTTTCTCATAACTTCAGTGAAAATGCTCCAAACGGCCCAAAACTTCACAGGTTTGGTAATGATGCAGCCATCAACGCATCAAAGCGTA